GAAACGTTGTAATAAATATGGCGACAAAGATGAGGACAATAGTCCGAATAATGTAAATAGTGTGCATAATACCTCATCTCAGAATTATAGACAGATACTGAACGGTCGAAACGTTGTAATAAATATGGCGACAAAGATGAGGACAATAGTACGAATAATGTAAATAATGTACATAATACCTCATCTCAGAAATATAGACAGATACTGAACGGCCGGAACGTTGTAATAAATATGGCGACAAAGATGAGGACAATAGTCCGAATAATGTAAATAGTGTACATAATACCTCATCTCAGAAATATAGACAGATACTGAACGGCCGGAACGTTGTAATAAATATGGCGACAAAGATGAGGACAATAGTCTGAATAATATAAATAGTGTACATAATCCCTCATCTCAGTAATATAGACACATACTGAAGGATCGGATAAATATGGCGATAAAGATGAGGACAATAGTCCGAATAATGTAAATAGTGTGCATAATACCTCATCTCAGAATTATAGACAGATACTGAACGGTCGAAACGTTGTAATAAATATGGCGACAAAGATGAGGACAATAGTACGAATAATGTAAATAATGTACATAATACCTCATCTCAGAAATATAGACAGATACTGAACGGCCGGAACGTTGTAATAAATATGGCGACAAAGATGAGGACAATAGTCTGAATAATATAAATAGTGTACATAATCCCTCATCTCAGTAATATAGACACATACAGAAGGATCGGATAAATATGGCGATAAAGATGAGGACAATAGTCCGAATAATGTAAATAGTGTACATAATACCTCATCTCAGAAATATAGACAGATACTGAACGGCCGAAACGTTGTAATAAATATGGCGACAAAGATGAGGGACAATAGTCGAATAATGTAAATAATGTGCATAATACCTCATCTCAGAATTATAGACAGATACTGAACGGTCGAAACGTTGTAATAAATATAGCGAAAAGAAACAGTCCGAATAAAATAGAAGACAATAGTCCGAATAATGTAAATAGTGTACATAATACCTCATCTCAGAATTATAGACAGATACTGAACGGTCGAAACGTTGTGATAAATATGGCGACAAAGATGAGGACAATAGTCCGAATAATGTAAATAGTGTACATAATACCTCATCTCAGAAATATAGACAGATACTGAACGGCCGGAACGTTGTAATAAATATGGCGACAAAGATGAGGACAATAGTCTGAATAATATAAATAGTGTACATAATCCCTCATCTCAGTAATATAGACACATACTGAAGGATCGGATAAATATGGCGATAAAGATGAGGACAATAGTCCGAATAATGTAAATAGTGTACATAATACCTCATCTCAGAAATATAGACAGATAGTTTTATCTATTTCTGCATTTGCGGATATTGGGAAGCATGTTTGGGTTGAGAGAGGGTCATCTTCCAGTTCCTGCCATAGTTCTCCATGTTTGATATATCTGATCCGTAATGTTCTCTTGTAGATTTTCCTGGTGTCTTATCAAGTGATGGTGTTGATTGCAAAATAGACTTTTATGAGTTTAAAAACTAACTAAAGCACCTAATTAGGGGAAACATACTTACGTGACCTCTGATGACCAATCAGAATACAAGTATATGGCAATTCAAAATAACTTGACTAAATTCCCTAAGTACAATCTACAGTCTAGCATTAAAGTTAAGATTAGATTAAATTAGAAATCAATATAATTAAGTTTGAATTTCTATGTCGGAGAACGTATATTTTCTATGAAAATTTCTCGGACATTCAGGACGGTATATGTTGTTTAATACTGTTTATTATAAACAGAACATTTACTCTATATCATTATATCTGTATCTATAAAAAAAGAATGTATAAACATAAAAAATTTCTTAAAAAATAATTGTCGGACTTTGTTCATTTCATAATGCGTGAAGTCATTTGTTTACATTTGGATGCGTCAGGAGCAGGTATGAATGTAAGTGTTAGAATCATGAAAGATTGTAGTTTAAAGACAGTAAAATCGACCTTGCTAACCGAACGCTCCCCTGTGGCCAAATCGGTTAAAAGCACGTCAGGCTATATCGACGCTTACGTATAGGAAACAGGTTTGATTCCTGTCGGAGGACGAATATTTTCTATGAAAATTTCTCGGACATTCAGGCCGGTAAATGTTGTTTAATACTGTTTATTATAAACAGAGCATTTACTTAAATATTTGTATCTATAAAAGAATGTATAAACATAAAAATGTCTTATATATATATATATATATATATATATATATATATATATATATATATATACAAAGAATAATCACACATAAATTAATCAGAAGTTAATGCGATTATTGTCCATCGCTAGAAAACATAATATATGCATTAAAATCCTGTTCATTTTGATTTTATAAAGGAAAAAAACACATGCCTGATGATGGATGGAAGACTGTCCGTAAGTACTAGCATTTTAACATCAAATAAACTGAAAAACTACAGACAACAAGTTTTTCTTCAAGGATCAAGACTCGCACTATGGATGAACAGGATTTTAATGCATATATTATGTTTTTCTAGCGATGGATGTCGCAATAATCACATTGATACTTCCCTGATTAATTCTATGTGGGATAATTCTTTGTATGTAAATCATATGCTGCCTAATGTTTTATATATATATATATATATATATATATATATATATATATATGTATTATTTTAAATGTTAATTTGTAGTGGATACGCGTTTTTGAGTAGGCACCAGAATTCTTAATCTATTCACCCGAAACAAAGGCGTTAAATCCACTAAGACGCAAGAGACGAAATAGAATGAGCATAATGTAGAAAGAATCAGAAACCCCATCCTAAACAGAAAGCAAGGAATAAACCTCTTTTCTTGTTAAAAAAAAAAAATTACACAAAATTCATAATTTTGTGTTGAAGATGTTTAATGGACGATACGGAAAAGGGAGAGGGCTTAGAGAATTTGACACTCACATGACATATAGAAAGAAAGACATGTCAACGAATGAAATACAGCGAATGACATACTTAGTAACCTTATTTTGTGTAACTGGATGGCAGAACAAGAAATGAGAGGAGAGTAAAAAAACATATAAACAAAGGATAAGAGGATGTGGAGGGCTATTATCGTCCAGGCCATGAAGAGACGTAGCACGTAAAAGAAAAGAAGACATATCCACTTAGATTGATAAATATAAATATTGGCTCTTCTCTTTGAATTTCTGTGATGAGGAATTATCATGTATATAATTACCGCGAAAAGGGATACAACTATCTAACATTCAATAGCTCATCTTCCTCTTCTATGTAATAAATGCGAATGTCAATGTGTCACTGTGCCACATTTTCCAACTTTATTGCCAGAGGCTGTAGCCTAACATATTTTAGAATTAGGCCGACATATTTTGGAATTGGGCCTAACATTTTGGAATTATGCCGAGTTCGTGAGAAAATTACAAACATTCCGGGCCTGATTTTTATTTTTTTTTTTTCTTTAGCTCATCTTCCTCTTCTATGTAATAAATGCGAATGTTAATGTGTCACTGTGCCACATTTTCCAACTTTATTGCCAGAGGCTGTAGCCTAACATATTTTAGAATTAGGCCGACATATTTTGGAATTGGGCCTAACATTTTGGAATTAGGCCGAGTTCGTGAGAAAATTACAAACATTCCGGGCCTGATTTTCTTTTCTTTTTTTCTTTTTTTTTTGTACAACAACCATTTTGATAACTTGAAAATAAATTTAGGAATAATTAAAATTAATTGCGAATTCCAGAGAAATCGCTCTTGAAATAAAAATAATTGTTTATACGGAAAATAAAGATCTACGTACATCAAAATTTTCTTTAATTTAAGTGGCGGCAGAAGAATCATCGTTGATATTTTCAAAGGTAAAATATTAATGTAATACTTAAAAGCAGCGATCAATTTTGTGTTCTTCTATAGTTTAGTGTTGCCTAACACATTGACTCCACCCTACCAAGATCATTCCGCAGGAGCGAACTCAAATGCTGCCCAATAGGGCGGCTTTTAAGCTAGTTATAAAAAAAAAAACAATAAAAGGAAAATTTACCTTAAATGAAGCGTTTCGTCATCTGAAGGACTTTTCAAAGGCAAATAGGAGTCCCTCAGAGAACGAAACGCGTTGGCTTATATTTTCCTTTTGTCTTTATTCATATTATCCTTTCACAGATGTATATAATCTGAAATTTTTACGAAATTATCATTATTTACATTCGGCCAAATGTTACGGCCGTTATTCACTCACAGGTGTTTTTTGGTCCAGGTAATCTTCTGGGGACTTCAAAGAGATGCGTTTTTTTATATTCTATGATTGATCACATTTTGCTGTCGATATCAAGAGCTATATTGTTCGGAGTCTGTTTATATTTCTGAGATGAGGTATTATGTACATTATTTACATTATTCGGACTATTGTTCTCATCTTTTATAATACCCAGAAATCCATACCCAGATGTTCTCAAGGACACATGGCACAGTGGATAAAGGTGTTGGTTAAATCCAGTGGCAACCCAAAGAGTGTGAGTTCAATACCCGGTAAAGGCAGTGGAGAATATATATATATATATATATATATATAAAAAAATAAAACGTTTTGGTTGTAATGTGGATTTATTGAGAAAAAAATTTATACTTTGTTTAATTCTGTATTATTTTTCAAAAATCATTACAAAAGTTGGACCACTACAACATATATTTATATATATATATATATATATATATATATATATATATATATATATATATATATATATATATATTTATTTATATATATATAAAGAATTAATGGAATTATACTGAATAATTCTGATTACTTCAAACATTACAAGAGTGGACGCTTCGTATTTAAAATAGACGCACTGTTTTCATTTATCAAACGCGCATTCGAGAAAACATGGAGATGAGGATATTCATTCGAATATGAAATAATTTAAATAAACCAAGTCTCGATAGAAAGTTTGATCCTCACTGTGTGCCCCAGACTGAGATAGATAGATAGATTGACAGAAATAGATTGAAAGAGAGACTGAGATAGATAGATATGATAGATAGATGATAGATGATGATAGATGAAAGACTGAGATAGATAGATATGATAGATAGATAGATAGATAGATGAATGATAGATGAATGGATAGATGAAGGATGAGATAGATAGATAGATAGATAGATGGATGAATGATGGATGGATGAGATAGATAGATGAAAGATGAGATGGATAGGATGAAAGAGAGACTGGATAGATAGATGGATGGATAGGATGAGATAGATAGATGGATGGATGATGAAAGAGACTGGGATGGATGTAGATGGATAGATAGATGAATGGATAGATAGATGGATAGATGATGGATGGATGAGAGGGACTGAGATGGATAGATGGATGGATGAAGAGATGGATAGATGGATGGATGGATAGATGAGATAGATGGATGGATGGATAGATGGATGAAAAGATAGATATAGATGGATGGATGGATGAAAGACTGAGATGGATGGATGGATGGATGGATGGACAGATGGATGGATGAAAGAGGATGAGATAGATGGATGGATAGATGGATGGGGGACTGGGGATGAGATAGATGGATGGATGGATGAATGGATAGATGGATGGATAGATGGGACTGAATGGATGGGTAAAAAATGAGAAATGAGATAGATGGATAGATGGATAGATAGATGGATACAGAGAGAGAGAGATAAACACGCTGTTGTTATGTATATACATTTCTATCTATCTAAGCAATGTTGCAAGAAACTCTATGCACTCAGTCGTACGCACGCACACACACACACGTGCGTACACGCACACACATACATCCTCACATATATAGCTATGTGTGGCACATGGCTGGCTAGCAATAATTCTTCCCATTATAACAATACGCTGAATAAAAATAATATTTAAAAAAATTATGTAGCTTATTTTTTTTTTAATTCGAAATTAATAAATCTGAATTATACGAAGAGACATTAAACCCTTTCTTCAACCATCGGATTAACACTCAGTGACAATCCCCAGCGTCAGACAGGCTGTCGGATTTAAGCTCACCGAAGAGAGGACGTCAAAACGTCGTGAATATGACAATTTAGCCGCTGTGTGCTGCCGGCTTAAACTGTCACCCCCCACAAAACGATGTTGTGTTAACTTTCCTTTCTGTTTGTAACGCTCGCTGCCTGCTTGGTTATTCAATCAAGGTCTTTTTCGAAAACAATGAGAATTGTTTAATGCTGCGGTAGCCACGTGGTATAAAATCACTGGTTTTCTTTTTCACCAGATGTACGCACATCTGGAGGAGAAGACGCTAAACAATCAGCTATAAAATGAGGCCGAAATATAAGATTTGGATATATCAAGGGAGTATGTATTGTGTAGTTTTGAAAATATATTGGATATATTGGTAGGAACAAACTGCCACAGATAGATAGGTAGATAGACAGATAGATAGATAGATCTGAATAAGCTGAGATAGATAGATAGATAGATATATTTAAATAAGCTGGGATAGATACATAGATAGATTATATTCTTTTTTTGTTATGTTTCCATCAGTTTTGTTATTCAATCTTCCACATCGTAATAATAGAAAATCTGCCAAGATGAAATGTTGTAATCAAAATGCTGTTTATTTCAATAATAAAAGAAATGTAATGTAAATTCTCCGCGTCTCTATTTCATTTAAGCGCGTGTATTGTCGCATCAACGTCTGAGCGTGACCAATAATTCTCCCATATATATATATATTATATATATATATATATATATATATATATATATATATATATATATATATATATATATATATATATATATATATATATATATATATATATATATATATATATATATATATATATATATATATATATATATATATATCTATGGATAGATATTTTTTATATATCAAGAACAGTATTAGATAAATCTTATGACAAAGCGGAAAAAAATTGCTTGTGGGGCGTTTCGTTTAATATATATATATATATATATATATATATATATATATATATATATATATATATATATATATATATATGTGTGTGTGTGTGTGTGTGTGTGTGTGTGTGTGTGTGTGTGTGTGTGTGTGTGTTATATATGTGTCTGTGTGTGTTATATATGTGTGTGTGTGTGTGTGTGTGTGTGTGTGTGTGTGTGTGTATAACTGGAAATGAGAAAAAATTTAGCTGTTTCACTCTGACGAATGAAGATAGCTCAGTGGTAGGCTATTACTGACACCAAATCAGTTAGGTTTCGATCCTGGCAGAGGCTTTCGAATGTCTAAAGCTGTGATACAGCGAAAGTACTGTCTGTGAATGACATAATATATATATATATATATATATATATATATAGAGAGAGAGAGAGAGAGACAGAGAGATAGAGACAGACAGACAGACAGATCAGAGAAGACAGACAGAGATAGAGACAGACAAGACACAGACAAACTGAAACACAGACAAACGGAGAGCGAGATGAACAGAGATGAACAGAGATAGATTTAAAGAGACACAGATAGATTGATAACCAATTCGATCTCTATCTATCTATCTATCTATCTATCTATCTATCTATCTTTTTGCACCTCCATATAACTGAATCTATTCACATCTATCTATCTATCTATCTATCTATCTATCTATATCAATCTGTTCACATCTATCTATCTACCTTGCTCTTCGGATCTCGTCGATTGGCGCTATAGAATCACAAAGACCTTTACAATTTAACAGAAATCTCATCACCTGGAGAACGGTAACGATGTAAATAGGAAGAGATATAATCAAGGTGTTGACGTTCTAAACTACCTTCAAAAAAGACGAGGAAGAAAACTCCCAGTATATACAACAACAACAATAATAATAATAATAAGCTACTTTTATGGGACTACACAATACACACTGACAGAACAATCAAAGCTAACACATTTAGAGACATTGTTATTAGAGACCGTAAACAAAAACAAGTGCCTCCTTATTGATATGGCAGTCCCTGCTGACTGCAATGTGTCTTTGAAGATCTTCAAAAAGCTATCAAAATACAAGGACCTTGAAATAGAAATCTCGAAAATGTGGCACATGGGAACATCAACAATCCCTGTTGTAGTTGGAGCCCTCGGATTACTTGGAAAAAATTCCAACAGACTCAATGAAGGAATTCCTGGAAGCCCAGGTCTTGAATACAAAAAATTGTTCTCACGAGTACAGCCCACGAAGGGCTTTATCTATCTATCTATCTATCTATCTATCTATCTATCTATCTATCTATCTATCTATCTATCTATCTACACACACACACACATACATATATATATATATATATATATATATATATATATATATTGCCTATCAGTGGAAAATGTCATAAACCATTTCTGACCTTAGGTCTCTGGGCGGGACCCGGAACGAAATGTGTAAACACCAGAAATCAAAGGAAATAAAATAAAATAATAATAATAATAATAATAATAATAATAATAATAATAATAGAACTCATATATGACGTACTTGTCAGAGGAGGGGCGTATTCAAAAACAGTCTGAAATTGCTTTTTTAACTGCAAATTATTCATTGTACGTTTTATCTAAGTATTTTGCAAAACATACACAATATTTCAAGCTCAATTTAAGTTTAAAGTTCGTAGCCATGAAATGAAATGAGGTAACATCAACCGTATATTAGTCTGTGGAATGTCATATTATTGTCACATAATTATAGTGAAATCATTAAGGGTTTTTTTTGTGTTTATTATTGGTCGTATATTAATTTAAAATATTCCTTTTTACAGGCTTTATTTTTGAAGTGGAATTAGATTATTCTAAATTTGAGAATTTCGCTATTGCTCATCAAAATGACTGAAAGAAAACGATCTAAAAAAAATAATGGAAAATAGAAATAACAGAGCGTAAACGAAATAACACCAGTTCGTTCAACTTGGGAAACTTAGCATTGCAGCCGAAATGCTGCCAATAACAAAGGAGAAAATGAAAAATACATAACAACAAATCCAATGTATCTGTCTATATTTCTGAGATGAGGTATTATGTTCACTATTTATAGTATTCTTACTATTACAACGTTTCGGCCTTTGTACGCTCCGGCCTTCTTCAGGTGGTTGGAATGTCGAACTGAACCATTTATTTCGCTCACCTCAATGACACAGTGGATAAAGGCGTTAATTAGATCCAGTGACAGGACCCAAAGAGTGTGTGTTCAATATCCGGAGAACGTGGAGAGGGGAATTAACAGGAGATAAATGACAACTGACATCCATTAAACATGGCACGTGGAACTAGAACAGTCTGCCCCAGTGAGCGAAATAAAAGGTTCAGTTCGACATTCCAACGACTTGAAGAAGGCCGGAGCGTACAACGGCCGAAACGTTGTAATAAATATGGCGACAAAGATGAAGACAATAGTACGAATAATGTAAATAGTGGACAAACCGAATATAGCATCAAAATTTATATTATTTTTATTTATTTTTTATGTAACTAAATACATAATTATTAACAATGTTTCCGTAAAACTTGACATTTCCTGTAATAAATTCGTAATAAATATTATTATTGTTATTATTTTACTTAAGTGTATGGTAGTCCTACATTTACACTTCCTTATTGCTAACCATGAAAAAAAATGTTGATCAAAACTGCCTAAAACCTTTAAGCGCTTATTGGCACAAAATTATCAAATGGTGAATACGCCCCTCCTCCGCGACATATGTTGACACCAGCAAATGTTTTTGTAATTAAACGTGTCAAGATGAATAGAAATTCGAATAAAAGTTCTCAATATAATTTTTTTTACAATGCCGTTCACACTGTAAAAAGTTAAAGAGCCTCTCTAGGTAGAACGTTACACAGTAAGAGGCCCAGTTTATGTGGATATGTGGAGAAGATCACTGGTGAACACTGATTTGATCCAGTTAAAATTGTCGTTATCTGTGAAGTATTCTCTTGGGAGTCGGTTCCACAAAGAAGTGGTTCGTGGGCAGAAGCTGCCCGAGTGGAAATTACTTCTCACCAATGTAATAGGAAGGGAATAAAACTGCTTGACTGCAATAGGGGTAGCTTGGTGGGTCTTAGCCGTTAAGGTAAGAATTGGTGAACCTTTGGAAAGCGGTCCGTCTAGACACTCTCCTTGGAAATAGCGATATAACAGCGAGACAATTGCGACGCTTCGGCATTGCGAATGGTGTTGCAGGGTGGAAAAGAATTTGTCACCCACAGGGACAAGGAGACGCCTTTAGACTCTATCGAGACTATAATCTATGTTTCTGGATATTTATCACAGAATCTGCATTTTGGGCTAACACAATTTTGTATTATGTGTGCTTGATAATTCCCAGTTAGCAAGCATTGGTCCTGTGCAGAAAGGATAAAACCTTCAGTTTCAGCTTTCAACCCTGCACTACGTAGCCACTGATGGGTACGGGTTTTGACTACGTCAGCTTGTTTGGTACGGGCAGGGTATTGGCCATGAAGCGGTTTATCTTGCCATCGCTTCTGTATCGGGTCGGTTGTATTCGTCTTTGCTGTCTTTTTTAATTATTTTATGGCTTCAGTCGGTGTATTGTGCTTTACTTGTATTTCTGCCCCCATTTGAAACTCCATTTATTAAAGTGGTCCGTCTAGACACTCTCCTTGGAAATAGCGATATAACAGCGAGACAATTGCGACGCTTCAGCATTGCGAATGGTGTTGCAAGGTGGAAAAGAATTTGTCACCCACAGGGACAAGGAGACGCCTTTAGACTCTATCGAGACTATAAAGTAAGGACTAGGCAGGAGCTGTCTTTGTATCATGTCAGTTTTAAGCCCGATCTGGCTCTTGTACAGGTAGTGGATAGCAGAAGGATCCAGCTAATTACTGGAACGGTCCAGGCAACCAAGTATTTATCCAGTATCCTTACCCATGGATCGTATGTACGAGTTCCACTTGAGATCCGGGTTGAGTTTCAGTCCCAAAAGGTGATCAAGTCACGGGGCCCGCCCCTAGAGAACGCCTGTTCATCGCGTTCAGCGAAAATTCAGAGTCAGCTCGATGATGATGGAACGTCAAGAGTTGAGCTTTCAAGGCACTGAATGTGACCAGCTACTTTTCCCAAGAAGAGCTGTTAAGAGCTCAGGCAGCATAAAAATTTATATTTATTTTTTATGTAACTAAATACATAATTGTTAAAATGTTTCCGTAAAACTTGATATTTCATATAATTAATTCTTAATAAATATTATTATTGTTATTATTTTATTTAAGTGTAAGGTTGTCCTATGAGCAATAGCGAAAATCTGAAATTTAGAATGATCTTTTTCTGTTTTAAAAAATAAAGCATATAAAAAGGAATATTATAAATTAGTATACGACCAAAAATAAAACGCTTTCGTCAGAAAGCCTTAATGATTTCATTATAATTATGTAACAATAATGCAATGATATTCCGCAGACAAATCTACGGTTTATGTTACCTTATTTCATTGCATGGTTACGAACTATAAACCTAAATATCAAGTTTTATGGAAACATTGTTGACAATTATGTATTTAGTTACATGACAAATATATAAAAATAATATCAATTTTAATGCTATATTCGATTTGTTGTTATGTATTTTTCTTTTTCCCGTTTGTTATTCGAAGCATTTTAGAATCTTTGGGCTATAATGCTAAATTTCCTTAGCTGAATAACCTGGAGCTATTTCGTTTATACTTTGTGACCTCTCTTTTCCATTGTTGTTTTTAGATCGCTTTCTTCCAGTTATTTGTAGGGCAATAGCGAAATTCTGAAATTTAGAATGATCTTATCCCTTTTTGCAAAAGTAAAGCCTGTAAAAAGGAATATTTGAAATTAGTATACGACCAAAAATAAAATGCTTTTGACAAAAAAAAAACCCTTAATGATTTCATTCCTGCCATCGATCCTCTTCTCTTCATGTTGTGACATGTATCAAACATATCGTTTCTTATTTTTAACGGCAAACAAATTTGTTTCTTTGTTATCTCTTCAAACATTTGCCAAGCTCTGGTTATCGAAGGCTTGAGTTATAGTTAGCGAACTATTCTAGTTGACCGTTATAACTGATTAGTGTGTACGATCTTTGCTGGATACTATATATTTTCTCTTTCTTTCATTCACCCATGGCTCTTGTAAAGATATCCTTACCCAGGGATCGTACGTACGAGTTCCATTTGAGATCCAGGTTGTGTTTAAGACCCAGAACGTGATCAAGTCACGGGGCCTTCCCTAGAGAACGCCTGTTCATCGCTTCCAGCGAAAATTCAGGGCCCGCTCGATGGTGATGGAACGTCAAGAGTTGAGTTTTCGAGGCACTGAATGTGACAAGTTACTTTTCCCCAGCAGAGCTTTTAGAGCTCAGAAAGAAAAGAGATCAATTGCCAAGCTCTGGTTATCGAAGGCTTGAGTAATAGTTAGTGAACTATTCTAGTTGACCGTTATTACTGATCAGTGTGTTCGATCTTTGCTGGATACTATATATTTTCTCTTTCATTCACCCATTTCACTTCAGGTCGGGACTCACCCTAACATTTTTTTAACTCTAAGCGACATTTGACTCCGTGTTATCTCTTCAAACTCTCTTCTCTATTGCCTATTTACAGAAACTCGTTAGGTAGGTTACTCGATCTTTCCTATGCCTCGCTTGCCTTCAATACGTCCCGTCAGTGTCAAATTCGCCGAACATTTTTCCTCATTTCTCCAGAAACTTTAAATATCTTGTAAATATCAACTACAGAAAAACGTTTTCTCCTTGACACGAGATTGTGATAAGGACGGTCGACTGATTAGAGGTCGTTTCTTTCGTAGGGTCTGCTCTTCATTCCTGCCATCGATTCTCTTCTCTCTTCACGTTGTGGCATGTATCAAACATATCGTTCCTTATTTTTAACGGCAAACAAATTTGTCTCTTTGTTATCCATTAAAACTCTCTTTTCTATTTACAGAAGTTCGTTAGGGAGGTTACTCGATGTTTCCTATGCCTCGTGGATAGCAGAAGGATCCAGCTACTTACTGGAGCGATACAGGCAATCAAGTATTTTTCCAGTATCCTTAACCATGGATCGTATGCACGAGTTCCACTTGAGATCCGGGTTGAATTTAAATCCTAAAAGATGATAAAATCACCAGTTGATTTTTCGCGGCACTGAATGTGACAAGCTACTTTTCCCAAAAAGAGCTCAGTCAGAAAAGATATATATGTATATATATATATATATATATATTACAATAAACGTGCAATCAATTTACAAATTCATGAATTATTCACACAAAAACAAATGTAAAGGTTAATGATTTAATTGGCGAGAAATCCATCGTCGCAAACAATTCAAATAATATACAAAAACCTCCGAATCCGTTATGAATGAAATGATCCTTGTTTCTATAAATTTCTGCCGTATTAGTTCTTATTTTTACTACAAGCTTTCGTCTGTTCTGTATTATCCAAAAGTCGCACTTGTATCAGTTATTTAAATGCGACTTTTGGATAATAAGTGCGACATTACTGTAATTATTGAACAATATAGTTCATGCCACTTTGACAGAAAATTTACCAGTAAAAAATTCGTTCATCACCATATTTGTATATGAACGCACAACTTTTAAAAATTTAAAATCAAACTCAGCGTTGCTACTGCGCGCTCCAAAAACAATAACTCATTTCCAATAGCATTTTCGGATACAACAATACATATATTTTCGTTGTCCTCTTATTACTAAGAGAAAAAACAAGAACAACATCTATTCTATACCTGAAGATGTCTGTAGGAACAGACGAAAGCTTGTAGTAAAAATAAGAACTAATACGGCAGAAATTTATAGAAACAAGGATCATTTCATTCATAACGGATTCGGAGGTTTTTGTATATTATTTGAATTGTTTGCGACGATGGATTTCTCGCCAATTAAATCATTAACCTTTGCATTTGTTTTTGTGTGAATAATTCATGAATATATATATATATATATATATATATATATATATATATATATATATATATATATATATATTATCAGGGAGATCACTGAACACTGACTTGATTCAGTTAAAATTGTAGTGATCAGGAAGTCTTCTTCCGGAAGTCGGCTCCACAAAGCAGCAGTTCGTGAGAAGAAGCTACTCCAGCGGAAATTACTTCTAACCAGTGGATTACGAAGGGAATAGAACTGCTTGGATACAATAGGCTTGGCTTGGAGGATTTTAAGCATGAAAGCAAGAATTGGTGGACCTTGGGAATGTGATTTATCTAGACACTGTCCATGGAAATAGCGATAAAACAGCAAGAGACTTGAGACTTTTCGTCTGTGAGAAAGGGGTTGTAGGGTGGAAAATAATCTTACTAATATTTGTCTTTATACTACCTCTACTAATCCCTGTTCTGTCAACAATTTACACGAGATCGTTATTTTTCTTCTATGTGCCGTTTCTTTTTAGGACGTGAATGATCATAGCTCTCCACAATTTCCTGTCCTTTGTAGCTCTTACTAATGATTTCCTTCGTGATATCTCTCCTAAACCCTATTCTGCCAAACATTTACACTTTAAAATACTCTTCTAGTATATGCCGTGTCATTTAAAGATGTGCATGTCCATGGCCCTCCACAATTTCTTGTCCTGTGTAGCACGTACTAATGTTTGTTTTTTTGCTATCTAATCTTGATTCTGCCATCCATTAATATACACCCTTCTTCTTCTTCTTCTTCTTTTTTGTAACGTTGCCCTTCAGTACGTGCGCGATTGTAGCTTTCCAAAATTCCCTGTCTTTTGTAGCTCTTATTAAAGTTTCTCTTTATGCTATCTCTCCTAAACCCTCTTCAATCAAGCATTTACATAAGCTCGTTCTTCCACGTCTTTGCGCACTTCTTCTCTGTGACGTGTCCATTCAGGACGTGTACTATCATTTCTCTCCACTATTTATTGTCCTTTGTTAAGTAAAGTGTGTCTTTTTGATACGTCTCTTAAACCCTCTCATGACAACAATTTACACGAACTCGTATGGTGGGTTATGTGTAATTATGTTCATTCTATTTTGCCAACAAACTGCTCTGTGAATAGAGGGAACAAGGAAGACAGTGACACAAGGAAGAAGAGAAAAAAATAAAAGAAATGGAAACAAAGTAGGGACAAGAAAAGAATGAGGGCAACGAGAAAGAAAGAAAGAAAGAAAGAAAGAAAGAAAGAAGGAAAGGAGTGAAAAAGAGAGGAAACTGAAAAGAAGTGGAAAAAGAATTGTGTAAACGAGAAGAAGTATAGAAAAGAAAGAAAAATGAAGAAAATTATGCAAAATAAAGAAAGACAAATAAAAAAGAAATTGAGAAAAACAAAAAGAAAACCATAGATTAAGAAAGAAAGAAAGAAAGAAAGAAAGAAAGAAAGAAAGAAAGAAAGAAAATGGCGGTAATAAGAAAGACAGAAGGAAAGAAGGAAAAAAGGCAGGAAAGAAAAAAATAAATGCATTAAGAAAGAAAGAAAGAAAGAAAGAAAGAAAAAAAGAAAGAAAGAAAGAGTTGACACATTAAGAAAAAAGAAAGAAAGTTAAGAATGGACGCATTAAGAAAAGAAAAAAGAAAATCATCTCTTAATTATAGAAAAAGTATTTAAAAAAAAAAACATTTAAAATATACCAGAAAGAATGAAAATGAAAAATAAAATGTTATTCTGTCGATGAAGAG